TACACTTTTTGCACTGGTGTTACACTTGAACTGCACTGCTCTCAGCCAATCAGAAGCGAGTAATTTTTTCGTGTATATTATTAAAGACATAATAACGTATTTCGTGTTTCAGTAAAGTCATAGTGAGTGCTTCCAGAGCTCTTTCGAGTTCTCCCAAAGTTGACAGGTTTTTTCCATAACTCAGTGGAAATTTGGACAGAAAGAAAGCTTCTTATAATTCTTTGTTTATTTTTTTAAGCCAACAGCACACACTGTACCTTGCTCATGTGCAAAGTTATTACCTTTCCAAAGATCTTACTCTGAAATATCTCAATAACTTAAGGTATTTGAAGCACTGAAGTTCGTGCCTAATTTTTAATTTTCTTCAAAACTTAGAGCCACCCGTGCCTTACACAATGTCGAACGCAAGGGACGATTCAATACAACCTCATGTCGGTTTGGCATTTCTTGATCCTCTCTTGCTTACCTACTGTTCCTCGTATGTTGCTTATTTCTCCATAAACCGTCTGAAGAGGATTCTTTAGTTTGATGGATGATCCAAAATCACCTAACTTGAGCAGACCATCAGATGACACGAATATGTTGGCACCTAAACCAGTGAGAAATGCAACGTGTTGAGAATTCCATGGTACATCAGCCCTGGTTGTTCGAAGGCTGAATAACGCTATCCACCGGATAAATCACCATCCAAAGGATGTGTTAACAAAACAAACCAAGCTATCCACTGGATATTGACTTATCCAGTGGATTGCGTTATCCACCTTTCGAATAACCCGGGCCAGGGGCCCGTTTCTCGAAGGTCCCGAAAGCCGTAGCAAAATCCCAAACCTTTTCGATTACGGAGCTGTTTTATTCACACATTCTTAATATGAACAGAGGTTCTCCTCAAACAAAAAGTTTCAGGCGTATACACCTCTCTGTTTTTAGATACAGATTAATCAAAAATTGCTATGCGCGCCCGAAAGGTTTCTAGGGCTTTGGAGAGACGGGCCCCAGGACAACGAAAGGTAAACGCAAAGTGTGCTTTTGAGCCTGGTCGCCCATCAGGCCGAGACTAATCCCTGTTTTTGTAGTGTTACCGCCGCAGAACTACAGTTTTCTATCTTAAATAGGATTTGATATAACGTGGACTTTATATGAAGTATTAGATAAGAAAATTTGTAACCCGAATGTACGCACATGGTTTTGGTCGGGTAAAATTTCGGCGTTGTAAAAACTGGCTGGACTTGTGGAATAAATTGTGGTTAAAAAGCTACAAATGTTGTTGAGTTGAAGTATCGACAACATGTGGTATTAGGCGACTTGGAGTATTTCTCCTTTTCCCTGGATGGGATGCTAGTCCATCATAGGGTTCCCCCACTCCACAAAACACTAACTTCGCCCGTAGCCATTTATACCCGTGCGGGATGAGAGGCGCCGTAGAAGTAGTGTCCTGCCCAGAAACACACAAAGAACCCGACTAAAATGACTTGTTCGGAACCTAGAAAATGAAATATTTGTGTACAAAATGTAATAAATGTCGAGGAAAAGGTTGTTGTTTGCTACTTTTTTTTTCAGCCACATATGGATTCGGAGCAAGTTAATGGAGTGCTTGTGTCAGAAAACGGCACTTTCTTACTGAAGTGTTGTATGATGGTTTTTACATATTCCCACATTGTACATTTGGCTCAAAGATAAACATTATGTTTGAAGCAAAAACGAACTTGGCCAATATCCAGCAATCTTGACTTGACGCTTGGCCAAAAAAACAAACATATCTAGAGAGCCCGCCAGAATTTCATCAGCACTCTAAACTTACCTTTGACATCCCTATGAACAATGCCCTTTTCGTGAAGTACGTTCACAGCAACAAGAATCTGGTATGTATAAACTCTGATCATGGATTCTGGAAGACCAAGCTTAGCTACATCTGATATGGTACCATCAGCACAGTATTCCATGAAGATGAACATTTCATCCTAACAATTACAACCGTGACCAGCTAAGACGTGCATGTACTTTAAATTATTATACATTGTAGTCACCATCTGTCTTCTCATTGGCTAAAAGCCTACAGTTAATTCTGGGAAACAGAGCAACCTACAGATTATTCATTAATCTGCTAGCAGATTAGT